TTTCCTCTTACTGAGCAGGTCTTAAGTCCAATTAGAGAGCAGCTGGTTATCACCAAATTATGTGTCACTCTAATAGTCTACTTGGTGCTTGTGTTGGTTACTTGTCTCATTATTGTGACAGAATGCCTGAACCCCCCCCCCCAAAAAAAAAGCCTTAAAGTAGGAATGGTTTAATTTGGCTTATAGTTCCAGGAGAAACAGCCCATAATGGTAAAGTAACAGGAACACTGGCAACTGGACATGGGGTGTCTGGCCACACTGCAGTCAGGATGCAGACAGCAATGAGTGTTGGTGTTCAGTTAGCTTCTTTCTCTTCACGCAAACTAGAACGGCAGCTTAGGGAATGGTGCTGCCTGCATTTAGGGTTTTCCTCTCACTTCACTTAACCTAATCTAGACAATCTCTCACAGACGTGCCCAGAGATTTGTCTCCAAGAACTTGGGGATCCTGTCAAGTTAAGAATCAGTGGAAGTCATCAAAGTATAACGAAGGCAGTGGTGGACTCCAAAATAGTTTAAACAAAGCAATGGCATGACTAGACATGCGTGGTTTTTTTTTTTTTTACTCTTTTCTTTCTGTGTGTTGGGTATGCACGTGTTCATAAGTGTGTATATGTGTGAATGCAGGTATGAAATTATATGGAGTCCTGAGGTCAACATCCAGTGTCTTCCTCAGTCACTCTCCAACTTACTTTTTTAGACAGCATCTCTTAATGAACCTTCAAGTTTGCTAAGCTGGCTGGCTGATGATCTCCAGGGACCCTCCTGCCCTTGTCTCCCCAGCACTGGGTTAGAGATGTGTACCCCTGGGCTGTGAGTGCTGCCAATCTGAACTCGATTCTCGTGTTTATGCAGCAGACACTTAACTGACTAATCCAAATTCCTAACCTATTATTTTATTCTGTGACTTTAAATTTTTCATAATACATTATAAGAGGTAATCACACCATAGTACATACTAATATAATTATCTCAAATAGATTACATTTTAAAATGAATTTTTATTTTTAATCCAGTAATTCAGATTTTCAAAAATTAAAACAATTAAGAGGTTACACCATTAATTATCCCAGATTGAAACACCTATTATAAATATCTGTGCCAATCAGGTAGCCCTTTCATAGCTTTTTGATATCTAAATATAACTATTATTTTATTTTCTTATATTAAAGAGAACTCTACTCAAAGCCCCAAACTTTGTTTCTTTTTAACATTAGAATATGTCTTAGTGGAGTTTCCATGTTAACCAGATAGATCTTAGAGCTGTCTGGCATTGTAGACGAATTTCTAAACAGTCTTATTAAATAAGAAACACAGAGCCAAATACAGGGGTGAAAGCCTTAGAAATCAGGGAAATAGTGATTTTCACCAACCTTACCTCTCCAGCCCTGCAGCTACCAAAAGTGAGTTACTTCCTGTCTTACCCATGCCTTTATTGCCTTGCTGTTCTGCCCTCTCATTGGCTCTTAGCCCAGCTACCTCACTTCCTTGTCACTGCCTGTCTGTACAGACCTCCAGGTCTCTATGGTTAGTACTGGGATTAAAGGCATGTGTCACCATGCTTGGTTGTTCCCTAGTGTGTCCTTGAACACACAGAGACCTGCCTGCCACATGATCGGATTAAGGGTGTGTGCTACCACTGCCTGACTTCTATTTTTACTTAAAAATGGCTGGCCTTTTCCCCCTTGATCTCCAGGCATGCTTTATTTATTAACATACAAATAAAATATCACCACATTTCAACACAAATAAAATATCACCACATGGCATTTATAAGTGAATATACTTGAGTTTAGAGGGGTAGTTCAATAATAAAGAGAATGTTTAATATGCATGAGGTTCAGTATCCACTCCCCAGAACCTCAATAAAGTGCTCTGATTGCAAAATATATATTAAATGTTGGGGAAAACAGATATAAGAACCTAGGCAAGAAACAATAGCCCTGGGAAAAACGTGACTCTTAGAGACTGGGGAATATCAAGCAGATACAGTCAACAAAATGTGGAGACCATGTGGAGAAAAGGTAGATCAAGGTAGAAACAAAACAAGTAAAGCACTTGCTGCTCTTCCAGAAGACCTGAGTTCAGTTCCCAGCACCCACATTGGGCTACACCAGCCAATAGCTCACTATCAGCTGTAACTACAGCTCCAGGGGATCTGGTGCCTTATTTCTCTCTCTCTCTCTCTCTCTCTCTCTCTCTCTCTCTCTCTCTCTCTCTCTCTCTCTCTATCTCTATCTCTATCTCTCTATCTCTCTCTCTCTATCTCTCTCTCTCTCTCTCTCACACACACACACAGAAGGATAAATCTTTTAAAAGGGAGGCAATTGAAGGAAGAGGAGTAAGCACTTCCTGACATCAGAGATTAGAGTAGCTTTTGTCAGGTGGAGGTGTTTCACATGTGCAGACATATATGCACAAACATACATCGGTCCATGGTCAAAAAGTCTCAAAAATTTCCAATATGCATCACCAATTTCCAACATGCATTAATGTTCCAATTTAATAACACCCTTAGCAGTTCAGAGCACTTGCTGCTCTTCCAGAGAACCCAGGTTCAGTTCAGTTCAGTTCCTAGCACCCAGGTTGTGGCTAACAACTGTTTGTAACTCCAGTTCCACAGAATTCAGCACCTTCTTCTTATCTCCGCATCAATCATAGGCAAGTGGTGCACAGATATACATACAAGCAAAATACCCAAAACACAAATTAAAAACAAATTTTAAAATCTTTTTTAAAAAAGTTAATAACATCATTGGAGTTTTGTTGTTGTTGTTGTTGCTGTTGTTTGGTTTGGGGTGTTTGTTTGTTTGTTTTAATTAACATGTCAAAACGCACACCAAGAAATACTGCCCAGCAATGAGTATCTGCACTCAAGGTCCGTGTCTTAATTTCCCTTTAAATGATCCTGTTCCCACAGAATGGAAAATTCACCTATCAAAGAAAATACGTTCACTGAGAGGCTGGCCAACCCACTAACATCTAGACCATGCTCTGGGTAGCTAGATACCATGAGGTGGCTGCCTTGATGACCCTAATCTATCCCCAAGTCCTGTATCTTCCCTTACCTAGTCTGTCTCAGTCTGAGCAATGCATACCCACTCTCTGGTACCCACACTGATACATCACCATAAGTAGGTAACTGTTTATGAAAATATGAAAGAAGATTGGAAAGACAAGCTGGAGTACCAGATATATTTGAGGATCTTCAGAGTGGAAGTGGCTATTGGAGGTGGAGGAGAAAACACACAGACCAAGGTCCAGAGGCTGGACCAGCTCTTCTTATCCAACCGCATCAAGTAAAAATGCTGAAAATGATTTCCAGAATAACTTCCAGCCATTGAGAATTGGGGCCTGTCAAGCTGTAAGTCAGGATATATTTAACTTACCATGCATTAGCTTGGTCTATTGTTTGTAAATATCTAGACATATGGTATATGGGTCTCTGTTGATAGTCTTCATCTAGATTCACAGAGTTTATTGGTTAGTACATATGGAAAAATTAGTAGCCAATGGCAAAAACTGAGTACGTAACATTTATAGGAATGAAACATTTTTAAACAAATTTGAGGAAAAGCCAATTGTTTATTCAATAGCACACTCTCTTGTTAAAGACATCCTTACGGCAATTGAATTTACAAGAGGTAACAGGGATACACAAAAAATCAACAATAAACCCAAACTCACACAGTTAGCACTTACTAGAGATCTTCAGGATCAATTAACTGCCAATGTTATTTTGCTCTTACCCTGCTACTTAAAACTGGAGAATAATGAAATCCTTTTGCTTTTGAAAAATGTAAATGAAACATTCCCCTAAGACAACTGTATGCTCACACAACCTTGAAATTTTATTTTGCTATTTGAGTCCATAAGTAATCTCCTGATATATATCCAGTTTAAAGGATAAGCTAAGTTCTGGGTCACTTCTGAGATAAAATTCTCTTCTCAAAACTAAAACACTGTACTGGGCTACGAAAAGCCACTGCTTAGCATTGGCATCATAGTTTAGTACTTATTAAATATTACAACCATTTAGTTTAGTGTATATTTAGGAGTAGGAAAAATCATATATATATATATATTAATAAGTAATCAATACAATAAATTATTAATACAATAGAATCAATAATACACTAACAGCTAGGCCTTAAAAGCTTAAAAACATATGATATAAAATTTAGCAGTTGTGATATTCAATCTTCATTATCAACTTAGTTGTTAGGGTGCTTGTTTCCAGAGAGGTTTAACTGAGTGGGGAATGTGGATAACTAACACTGTTCCATGGACTGGGCTCCCAGACTGCATCAAAAGGAAGAGGAGAAAGCAACATGGGCACCAGTATTTCTCTCTCTTTCTTTCTCTCTCTCTCTCTCTCTCTCTCTCTCTCTCTCTCTCTCTCTCTCTCTCTCTGCCCCTTGGCTGCAGATACAACGGACCACCTGCTTCACATGCTCACCGCCGTGCCTTCTATGTCATGGTGGACTTCACCCCTTCTAAAACCACGAGCTAAAATGATCCACAACTTTCTGTTTCTTCTCTCAAGGAGTTTGCTACAGCATTTGTTGTGAGTTTGACTCTAATGACGGTGTCATGCCCAAACAATGGCATTTTGTAGTCCTTCAAGTCCATGTCTTCCAGCTCTTACATTCTTTCTTTGCCCCCTGATTAAGGCTAACACTAGCCTTTGTCCATAGGTATAAACACAAATACTTAGAAGGCAGGTTGACAGTATTCCAGTTTATGATAATACTAGAACTTTGGGCTCAAATGATAATAAAACTATCAATATTTGGAGCACTCTTAGAAGTAAATTTTGAATTATCAAATGGCCATGAGCCTTAGAATAGGCAACAATAGAATTTTTTGATTAAAACTGTATGTTTAGGTATCAAGTTGACTAGGGGTGGGTTGATGCTGACTGATCTGCACTGTCAACTTGATTGGATTTGGAAATATCTATGAGACACAAATCTAAGGGTATTCTGTAATGATGTTTAGGAATGCTGACCATGCCATCCAATTGACTGTGGTGAAAGAAGACCCACCATGAATGCTGACCATGCCATCCAACTGACTATGGTGGAAGAAGACCCACCCTGAATATTTACTATATCATCCAATTGGCTGCAGTGGAAGAAGACCCACCACGAATGTTGACGATGCCATCCAATTGACTGCAGTTCCAGACTGAATAAAAACTGGGAAAGGATGAAGCCAGCTGAACATTAGCATTTATCTCTTTTTGTACCCTAACTTTGAATGCAATCTGACCTGCTACTTCATGCCCCTGCCTGGAAAAGTAGCCTATATGCCTTCCTAATCTGTGAGCTAAAATAAATTGATTGCTCCTCAAACTGCTTGTACCAGGTGCCTTGTGCCTTGTTGTAATTGCAGCAAATCATGTATTTGAATTGGAAAAGAGTTATTTTGCTACCAATTTAAGCTGGTATTGACTAACCATGTCATGTTACTGATATGTTTCTAAGTATGTTAAATAAAATAAGTTGAAAACATTTAAGTAGATTTTAGACCTTTGAGCAACTTATAAATCACATTTCAGGAGACAAAATATCTATTTGGGCATGGTGGTACATGCCTGAATCCCAGAACTTGCAGAAGCAAGAGGATCACAAGCTCACGGTCAGCTTCAGCTTGTGAGTTTGAGGCCAGCCCGGGCTACACAAGGTGCCTTTTTCTAGTTCTGGCAGGATCAAAAATGAACATTACCGCATACCCATAGGCCTGTGTGCACTGAACACACAAGCCTCTGAAGCCATCATAGGCTAGTCAGGGTCACCCAAGCAAAAGCCTACGATAGCCTTCACTTTCCTGGAGCCCAAAATCTGCTAAGAAATTCTGATTATAACTGGGCTCCAAGTCAGTATGGTGGGTGTGAAGCAAAGCCCCTTTTCCACTAGGTAGTGACAGATAGGACACTGAATTAAACAGCATATCACCTGACTTCCATACATAGTGCTGAGCAAGCTGAGGGCTAGAGATGGCCACCATGACCTAGTACCCCTCATCCTTGGAATGCCCGAGTTCTTTGCTAGACATCAATGAAAGGATTGTACCATGGAGACATAACACACTATATTGTGGGAGCCTCCCACGGAAGATCTTCTCATAGTTTGAGAGCCATTGGTCTAGAGAATGGCAGCAGGGACCAGAATCAAGAGCATCACAGTGGTCAGGAAAGGGCGTGGAGTGTTAGACACAGCCTCTGGCACTGGGGCGCCCCTCATTTGTTCTCCTCCTGGGACTTCGAGCAACGAGAATTGACTAATACCAACAAGACAGCCTCCGACGTTTAAAGAATGGTGAGTCATCACTTGGAAGGCTTTGCAGATAGATGGGGATTATCCCTGTGGAAAACCAAAACAGGATCTGTCTGCTATTTGTAGGCAGTCTCAGGACATGAAGATAATTTGGTATTTACTGTTAATGAGGTCATATATGCATCAACCGGAGCATTTTGAAATACGTGTAAATGTACAATGTACATGCATGCTACATAATAGACAAACAAGAAAGTGTTAGCACATATGTTGTTACAATTCACTTTAATCACCTGATCTCTTAGTACTCAAATGGAAATTGTAATTGGTTTGAAACGTATCTTTATTTAATTTAAATATCACTTCAAGGAAAATGTGTACTGTATGTACCTGTGAGATAGTCACTTCATGTATTTAAACTGATTTCCACCTGCTAGGCGTGATAGAAAAACAGAGTAACTTATATGTGGACTCTACCCTTGTGGACCTTATAATCAAGATACACTCAATGACCCACTTTAGACTCTTTCATCAAAAGTTCACTTGAGACACACTATTTCTGTTTATTTATTTTATATATTAATGTAGCCAAATAAACCATGCCAAATGGGAAGAACAGAGCAAGCTTCATTCAAGGTCCCATGATTAGAAAGGCTGCATGCTCCATGATGCTCTGAGGCCAATATCTTAAAAATTGTAACAGTATTTGAACCAGGAGACCTCACATTTTCACTCTGCATTGGACCCTGAAAATTATGTAACAAGTTTGGGGTCTGTGTATAAAATAATGTGTTGCTTATAAAATGGGTCAAAGTTACATTTAGTATGTAAACACGCAGAACCAAATATTACATGGAAATAAGCCTTAGTTACTTGCTGCCTTGACAAACATAGCCGGACCAAAGCAACTTAGGGGAGAAAGGGTTTATTTTGGCTCCTGAACCAAAGGCATAGTCATCATCGCAGAGAAATTATGACAGCAGAAACTTGAGGCATTTTTCACATTGTGTCCACAGTCAGGAAGCAGAGTGACCAGTGCCCTGTTAGAGAGATCTCCTTTAATCAGTCCAAAACCTCAGCTCAGGGAAGAGGCCATCTACTTACAACAGATTACCTGCTTTTGATTAACTTAATCAAGATAATCCCTCACAGTCATACCTAGAGGTGTGTCTCTCTGGTTATTCTAGATCCTGACAAGTTGACAAACACTTAAGACTTACAAGTATATCCCAAACGTTGTACGGGATATACTTGTAAATATGTTTACTTACACTAAAAATCAATGGTTGTTTACCTAAAATTCAACTGTAACTGGTTGTACTGTGTCTTAGTTGCTGTTCTATTGCTGTGAGGAAACCCGATGACTAAGGCAACTCTTACAACAGAAAGCATTTAGTTGGGAGCCTGCTTACAGTTTCAGAGAGTTATTCCATGATCGTCATGACAGGAAGCAGACAGGCATGGTACAGAGCAGTAGCTGGGGTAGCTGGGGACGTTGCATCCTGATCTGCAGGCGGGGGGAGGGGGAGGGAGGGAGGGAGGAAGAGAGAAAAGTTGGACCTAGTATGGGTTTTTAAAACCTCAAGCCCACCCCCAGTGACACACCTCCTCCAACAAGGTCACACCTCCTAATCCTTCCTAAACAGTTCACCAACTAGGAACTAAGCATACAAATACATGAGCCTCTGCAGGCCTTTCTCATTCAAACCACCATGTACTGTATTTGTTAAATCTTCATGGAGCAAAGAGAGACAAATGATCCAGCCTCACAGTAGTTACTAATCCTCACTCACTCACTTCCCTAATAGATTTATACAAAAAAATTCAGCTCACACTTCCAGCTAATTGTTCACAGATTAACTTTGAGGCTTCCTATGAATATACAAATTCAAGTAGAGAATCTTAAAACTTGGATATCACCAAAGTGTTCCAAACAAGGTGAGTGGTGGAAAGTTTGCCTAAATCTTTGCTACTGAATTGGTGACTTAGCCACTGTGGTCTAATTCCTGTGTTTATTTTAATTATCTAGGCTGGGTTTTCTTCAGACAACGGACTCGTTTGAATATGACCGGATGCTGGTTACTAATAAACATGAACTCATAGGCTACTGACACAAATCTTAACCTTATGTGTTCTGACTTTTATCACTACTGTGTTCCTAAACCTGTTCTCTCAAAACCCCAGATTCCTTTTCATTTCCAGATCAGCAGCATTTCCTCGGTTCAGCTTCTTCAACGCATGTTCAGCTTGATCTCCTTCTGGCTCCTGTGCCCATGTCTATCTCCACGTTCCCCTCACTATTCACTCTTTAAAGGAGGCATCTACAGGGTCTACCTTGGACTGTTTGTTCGTTTGTCTCCTCCTCTTTCTTCTTCTCCACCTCTTCTTGCTCTTTCTCCCCCTCCTTTTCCTCTTCTCCTTCCTCCTCTTCTTGTCTTTTCTCTTTGCAATTCACGCCTAGAGCTCAACCAACAGCTTTAGTGTGGTAGAGCTGACTTGGCCTCACTCCCCATAACAGATTGTTAGCATTTCTGCCACCTCTACATTCAGCGGCCTCATAAGAGGAGTAGAAATTCAGAGGATATTGTGAGTCTGGACTGCCTTTCACTGGCCCCAGTATCTATCTACTTGACCCTTAGCAGGATATCACTGCCTATGTGCAGAATGCAAGGACTTTCACAGCGTGGCTCCCACCTAGACTATAGTCTGACTCTTCTATGCATGCAGTTTCCTTTCTACTCAAACTAGACTACCCTGTGCTGCCGCAGGGACTCAGCTATCCTACCACTCTGCCTTCGATTATACTGTGTATCATTCTCCCCTGCAATGTAATCCGTCCAGCCTCAGCCTTGCCTTCTCCCCTTCTGTCTCAATTTTAGAGGCCTCTTGTCTGGCATTTTTCAAGTTCCAATTTGCATCAAAGTTACCAGTGAACTTCTCTTTTCTCTTTCCAGAAAGACAAAACTACTTCAAATCATGACCTAAGCATTTTTTGTTGTTGTTATTTTGCAGGGTCAAGGCCTCATGCATGCTGCTCTAAGATTCAACCACTGAATAGTAACCCTAATCCTGTTGAAAGAGTATCTCTCTCATACTTCAATTTAAACATTGCAAGTATCAAATACAAAGTTCTAAACTACTGAATTTATTCAAATATAAAATCTCATACTTCATAATGTACATAAAATAACGTGCAGAAAATTGAATCTCTTTAATCATGTAATTCTTTCACAGAAATGTCAAAATATTCCTTTAAAGAGCAACTATGTCTTGGTTTTATTGTGAACTAATGATTGCTTTAGGGATGGGAATGGAAATGGGAGACTCTTTTTTAGCTGGAAACAGAGAAAGCCATTACTTGATCATGGTAGATCACAGCTAACACATCATATTGAAATTTCTCCAACAAATATTAAATCCCTCTTCATTGGAAGAGATGATTTTATGTGATAAACTACATTTAAAAAAATTTGGAATTACCAGAAAATCAAATCTCTTTCTCAAGTTTTATGTGCTAATGGGATTGAAAAGCGAATGATTCATGTAGAGTAATCCCTATTAAAGTTTAAAATGCATTAAAATTAAATAAAGGGCATCCTTCAAGAGCACATATAATTTACATTTGGGTAATAAGTGAATAGATATTTCCTTTACAGAATTTTCCCTTGGAGTGCTATGGGCAATGTCAAGTATTAATGCCTTCATTTTATAACAAGCTCAATCATAGAAGGAAAATTTTAAAATCCATTTGCCTTGTCTCTTTCAAAAAAAAAGTCTCAATTGTACACCTACGTATCTACTTTCTGGTAGTTTCTCCCATATAATTTTATGGATAGCTCTGTCAGTGTGTGTGTGTGTGTGTGTGTGTGTGTGTGTGTGTGTGTGTGTGTGTGTGTTTGTGTGTGTACCTGAGCTAGAACAGTATGCTAACTTTTTTGCTTCTTACACTGCTACACACACTCAAAAGAAGATTTTATTAAGGTATAGAAGATTCAATAAATTAATGGGACCCAACTTCATTCCATGGAAACAGCATGTAACAGTAAACATAGGAACGAAACTGTCAGTCCGAGCTTTAGCAATGCCCTTGGACTAGACTTAAACTAAAGCCCTGATCTGGGTGTCAGAATGCAGGA